AACGGCTTGCCGCCGTGGTGTACGCGGCGTCGATCGCGCCTCGTCGTGAGAGAGCGGAGTAGCGAGCTCAATCGGGCCGTGTGCTCGACACGAGCCGGTGTTGGAGTAGACGTGCGGAAGAGTTGCTGTCGGTCTTTGGAGTGCGTGGTGGTGCCGCTATGGTGGAGCCGCCGAAGAACTCATCGCGCCCGAGGTCCCGGCCGAGAGCGTGGTCTTTGTTGGAGTAGCAGGTCTTAAAGGGTCGGTGGAGGCTTGGGGATCCGGGTAGACGTGTTTCGTCGAAGAAGAGCCGCCTACTCCCCTCCCTCGGCGGACGTACTCGACAATTGAAGTCGTCGTGCGTCGCAGCCGAGCCGTCGCCCACCGCTTGCCCCCACGCCCATCCTCGCCTTTTGTCGAACACAACGTCGCGCGCCGCGCGCGCATACACGCCGTGTTCGGTCGAGGATGCGGTAGGCCTTCGAGCCCTCCGCGTAGCCGGCGAACACTCCCGGAGTGCTCCCGCTCGCCGAGCTTGCTTGATGTGGCCAAGCTCCTTGGCGAACGCGAGGCGCGGTAGAAGACCCGCACCGCAGTGTGGGAGACCGCCGGCTTGCGCCCATGCCAAGCCTCGTCAGACGACATCCTCGCCGCCGAGCGCCTTGGTAGGCGAAAGGTTGAGGATGTAGACGGCCGACACCACCACCTCTCCCGAAGACACCGACATCCCCTCTCGCTTGAGAAGGGCCCGAGCCATTCCCACAACCGTCCGGTTGCGCCGCTCGACGACGCCGCTCATTGCTGCTGAATTCAGACGGCGCGGGAGTAGTGGCGCCAATGCCCTCATCGGGTCTGAATACGACGTGAATTCACCACCGTGAATTCGCCGCCGTTGTCGGTCGCGCGCGCGACGCGAACCTTGCGGGCCGCGCTCGCCTCGCGCAGCTTCTGCTGGCATACGATGGCGTCCGCATGATCTCTCCCTTGCCGCCGAGGACCATCACCCACATGTAGCGGGAGAGGTCGTCGACGAAAGCGGCAGGAAGTAGCGTTGTCCTCTCGGTGTGGCCGGTGTCACCGGGCCACACAAGTCCCCGTGCACAAGCTCGAGCCTCTCCTTGACTCGAAAGCTCGCCCGCTGGGGAAAGGGGAGTCGCCTTTGCTTCGTCAACACGCAGACGTCGCAGAGCTGCTCCACATGGTCGAGGCACGACAGGCCTCGCACCATCTCTGTGGCACTGAGCCGCTTCAGGGCCTCGAAGTGAAGGTGCCCGAAGCGCTCGTGCCACTGCCACACCTCGTCATCCTGACGAGCAGTGAGATAGAGGGGTTGTGCCACCTGCATGTTAAGGACGTAGAGTCGATTTGCGCTTCTGGTTACCTTGGCAAGAAGGCGACGACGGCGATCCCAAATCCTCATGACTCCATCCTCAACCACCACGCGCGAACCGTTCTCATCCAGCTGTCCCAAGCTGATGATAGAGTTCCTCAACGCGGGGATGTAGTAGACTCCGGTGAGCAGCCTGTGCTCACCAAACACGGCGGTGAAGATGAAGGAACTGACGCCCTTGATCTCCACGCCGGAGGCATCCCCAAACTTGACGAAGTCTCGGACACTAGAGTCAAGCTTGGTGAAGAACTCCCGTCGACCGGTCATGTGATGGGTGGCACCGGTGTCGAGGCGCCACCCGTCGATCTTGTCGCTTCTTGAGCCGTCCGCCGAGGAGGGCGTGCTTTTGGCTCGTCAAGGTGGAGGAGAGCACCGGAGGTAGCTCGATGCTTGCATGTGTCATGAACAGAGCCGGCCCCCTCTCTCTTTGTCGGCGACGTGGGCTGGCGCGCGTCGTGTGGTCGCCGACAATCCTTGGCCCAATGGCCAAAGCCGCCCACAATGGCGGTGTGTCGTCTCGTCTTGGCTTGTGGTTGCTTGGCGGCGCGCCCTCAAGCGCCTTCGAGGGCATCACCTCAAGACGTCCTCGCGCCCGGCTGGGCGTCTCTCGCGGCTTGCCATGCCATGCTTATGGCCACACGTCATGGAAGAAGGCTCCCCCTTCTTCCGGTCACCTTGGCAGGCAGCCCACTGCTCCCGAGTGAGAAGGAGCTTCCCGCCAGTGGTGATGGGCCCCGAGAGAGACTGTGGCTCATCGCTGTCGACGACCTTGAGGCGACCTATCGCCTCCTCGATCGACATCGTGGAGAGATCCAGCAGAGACTCGATCGAGCGAGCCATCTGCTTGTACTTCTCGGGGACGCAGCGGAAGAGCTTTTCGACAACTCTCTCTCCTCGCCGTAGGTGTCATCGCCGAATCGCACCATCTTATGCAATGTAGTGTTGAGACGGAGAGCAAAGTCATCAACATCCTCACCGGCTTGAAGGCCGTGTTCTCCCACTCCTTGCGGCGTGCTGCGCAGTGTGGACTTGCGCGCGCGCGGTCGCCGTCGATCGCGTGCAGCAGCGATGATGGCGTCCCAAGCCTCCTTGGCGATCCGCTTGTTGGTAAGCAAGAATCGCATCTCGGGGACGGGATCGCAGCGATGAGGGCATCCAGCGCCCGCGATCCCGGTCGTGGTCGACGTTGCCGCGTCTGGGACCGCCTCCCACATGTGCCGCACTGGAGCTTTACCCTCATCACCGCAGCCCACTCGACGTAGTTGATCTTAGTGAGGGTAGGCCACCCACCGCCAGGCCGACGTCCTGACAACGACTTGGAGCCCGTGGTAACCACGATACCGATCCGGGAGAGAGCCACGCCGCTGTGGAAGGTCGTGCTCTCCATCGACCCGCCCCATCATCGCTGTTGCGTCGCGCTCCCTCCGGGAGCGCCTTCCGCACGCCTCCTCCTCCAGAGCGCTTGCCACGCGCGTCGCTTGTCTGCGCCACCACGCTGCGCGTGCGTCGCGGCGGTTGCCCCCTTCGCCGCCAGCGCTTGTCCTGCCTCCTCCCGGCAGCTCGAGGTCCGCGTCGGCGTGCTGCTGTCGGCAGCAAGCCGGCTGATGTCTGCCGCCACAGAGCCTCGACCTCTCTGCCGCCAGACGCTGCATGCATTGCCGCCGCTGCTTCTTCCTCCGCCTCTGGCTGCTGCCGCTCTCGCCATTGCTAGCCTCGACGCCCTTTATGGCCGCCAAGCAGTCTCTGCCGCCGCTTCTCAAGCGTTCTCTGCCAAGCAAAGTTTGGCCTCTTCTTGACGCCACAGCGAGGCTCATCGACCGAAGGCCGAGATCGCCTCATGGACATGACGCGCTACTGGGGCTGCTTGCGTGGGGAGAGGGCTGCTTGAGACGAGAGGGAGAGGAGTGAGCAGAGCGGCCGAGCTGCTCTTGCTCCCTAGTGGGGGTGTTATTGAGACCGGGAAAGGAGATGAACAGAGATGCTCAGCTCTGAGGATATTACGGCTCTAATACCGAGTTGTTAGTCGCTGAATTCTTACTCTTGGTAGTAGCAGTATTCTTACTCTCATCGAGAGAGAATGACACTAGGAGTTGGGGCAATTTTTTGGTTTATTTCTCACACAAATGCCATGCCAACCTGAGGGGTTGGGGATATATATTTATAGGCTGCTAGCCAGCCAAGCATATGCCAAGATGCTAGTCTAAGATGCTGTCCTAGATGCTAGTCCTAGATGCTAAGATGCTGTCCTTGATAGGCAGCAAGACCACCGTGCTGCTGCAGCCCCACAAAGACCTACACAAAGACTTATCCATCAGAGAGCAGCGGGAGCTGGAAATTTGCCGTGCGGCTGCAACTCAGGCCACTCACTCACTCCTCTTCGTCTTACCCTAATGGGCCAGCTAAAGGTGGGCCGAATTCTTTAGCTGGGCCAAATTCTCCCTCCCCCGAACTAGTCGTCCGGCTAGTCTGATCGGACGACTAATCGTGATTAGTCGCAACTTATCGGACGATAAGTTTTCTAATCGGTCTAAACTAATCGAGGGCCCTTATCGAGCACCTGGTTACGATAAGGACGACTAATCGCGATTAATCGCGATTAGTCGTCCGATCTGAAAACACTGGTTCATTTTAATTTCAGAGGAAATTCCATGCTGAAGTATAAACCTAAATTTCTTAGGAAGTACTGTTGTAAAGGTGTTAGGCAGTGCCTATTAAGTGGCCTTGCTTAGGTGGCCTGTATACAAAGGAGGAAGGTGTGTGAGGAGATATCCTAAAGGAGAAAGGGGCAAGTGAGGCAATCCACTCAGCCCGGCCCAATACAAGATACCCTAAGCCGCTTGCCTCTACATCTACAGCCGCCATCCCTTGCAATTGTGATTGTCGCCCTGTATCACCCCCTACCATTCCCCACCACCGCCACCGCCGCGGAGGCTGAATCAGGCTGTTCGCACCAGATTGTCGCCCCGTATCACCCCCTACCTTTCCTCACCAGCGCCGCCGCTGCGGAGGCTGAATCAGGCTGTTCCCACCATCGTTGATGCCAAATCCGGCCATTCCTGATGTGTACATAGCTGGATGTTAGCCTCCACCGGTGTCCCTCTCCCTCACTACCACTGCTGACGCTGAATCTCACTGTCCTTGCCTCCATCACTGCTGCAAGACCTGTGCTTCCATCTTTGGAGTTAGATCTGTGATTCCATCACTCCCTCTTGCCTTCACCGCAAGCCTGAGGCCCAGCCTGGCATGACCACCAGCCTTACTGCCTAGGCTCCTGTTTTGGAAGATGGCTGCCAACCCCACCAATTTCAGTAAAATCGCTGCGGTAAGAGATTATCTGTCATCTTGCCTTTTAGAACACCAAGAGAGACACATATGTGCATGTTGAAAACCAGGTATTGTAATATGTCACTGCAAACACAGAAAGATTGGTAAAAGGGGGAAAATATTAAATCTTTGTCTCATGTGACATTTCTTAACTTGGATGATTTTGGAGTGGTATATTTACAAATTCCAGAGTAATTCAACTACACATGCCAACATATTCTATGCTTTTTATCCAATACACCCAAAATTAAGTCTTAATTACTTATTTTTGTGGTTTAATTATTGCTGTAATCCATACTTTATGTAGGAACCTGCTGGTGACTCCAATGACGATGAAGTATCCACAAGACGACCAAGTGCACTGGAGAGTTTGAGAAGACAATTTAATAGTCAGACAGCTGTGTCATTGCCTTCGTCGCCCCATAGGTCAGGTATTCTTGGCTCTGACCTCGGGAGCCCATCTGACTATACAGAAGCAGATCTGGTGGCAACCTGGAATGAGGTGCTGCAGTCTTCACCATTTCTGAACAAGCCTTTATTGCCATATGAGGAATGGTGCATTGAGTATTCAGAGATTACTGTTGGCACTCGTGTGGGAGTAGGCAAGTAATATTCCCTGTTATCAAATATTTTTTATATTTTTGAAGCACTTCATCATCTGAAGTCTTTTGGAGTCAGATGCATCATCAGAAGTTATGCTTATTACTCCCTCAATTCCAAATTATAAGATGTTTTGGCTTTTCTAGATATATAACTTTTGCTATGCATTTAGATATACACTATGTCATAGTAAAAGGTAATGTATCCAGAAAAACTAAAACGTCTTATAATTTGTAACAGAGGGAGTACTATTTATTAAAAAAATTGAGACAATCATAATGAATCTGAAGTAATAGATGCAATGTTTGCTTTATGTGGCATCTGATCTTGTTAAAGGTAGTAACTCATCTAAAATTTTTTAGGGTTTTTTGGAGAAGTCTTCCGTGGCCTCTGGAACGGAACAGATGTAGCTATAAAAGTATTCCTGGAGCAAGATTTAACAACGGAGAATATGAAAGATTTCTGCAATGAGATCTCAATACTTAGGTTTTACTTGTATCTTTTGGCCATTACTTTTCTTATGAGTTGTCTAAAAGATTGTTCTCTTATTGTTTTTTTTTTCGTTTTGTTGCAGCCGACTTAGACACCCCAATGGTACTACCTCCACACTGAACTTTCATTGGTTTAGTTTCAATTTTTTAATTTTGGTTTCAACTTCTGTTAGTATCTGCTGGGTCTTGTGTTCGGAAATGGCATTTCCTATTTCATCAAGAAAAGAACTTATGATATATTTTGAAAAGTATGCTAATCATGTTTATGGTACTTTGGACTGCAGTCATACTCTTTCTTGGTGCATGTATGAAGCCTCCTCACTTATCCCTAGTCACTGAGTACATGGAAGTGGGTTCTTTGTATAGTTTGATTCACTCAAAAACACAGAAAACTAAGCTCCATTGGAAGAGGAGGTTAAAGATGCTCCGTGATATCTGTAGGTGAGCATGTTCAATGCCTCTAGCTTTCTGGACTGTTCAATGCCTGTAGTTTTTCAGACTGTTCTGTCCCTGCTATATCCTTTTGTGTTCCTTTTTCCATGTCTAACACCATGGTTTGGTTATAATGCTGTACAAGGGGTCTCATGTGCATGCACCGACTAAAGATTGTTCACCGTGACCTCAAGAGTGCAAATTGTCTTGTTAACAAATACTGGACAGTCAAAATATGTGATTTTGGGCTCTCTCGAGTAATGTCAGATTCTGCGATGAATGACAACTCGTCTGCGGGAACTCCAGAGTGGATGGCTCCTGAGCTCATCCGCAACGAGCCATTCACAGAAAAATGTGATATCTTCAGCTTCGGGGTTATCATGTGGGAGCTTTGCACTCTTTGTAGACCTTGGGAAGGAATCCCACCTGTTCAGGTAGCCACCATACTTATTCATGGCTCTTTTTTTTAAAAAAAAAAAAAAGATAAATTGTCACTAAATTAAACCAACTCACATGTCTCCTATCTACATGTTAGATCGTTTACTCTGTTGCGAATGATGGGGCAAGACTGGAAATACCAGATGGGCCTCTTGGAAGCTTGATAGCGGGTATGATTTCTGTTCCTTCTATGAAAGGGTAGTTGTTTGGTTGCACCTGCATCCATTTGGAACTTCCATTGTGGTTTGTCTGGATTACCAGGTGTTTGTTAATCAACATTATAATGGACACATGTTGAATTTTTCAAGCATTACCTATAAGAAATTTCCTATCTCTACAGGCGGGTGAAGGTCCTTGTTTTTATCTATTCCGTGGAAAGATAGGAGGAAACTGATTGAACATTATTTTAATACTTTTGACCCTAGAAAAAACACAGAAAGTCCTTTATCTTTTGTGAACAATACATAAATCTCATACAAGTTTGAATGTCTACCCAGCAATCATACAGAAATGGTACTCCTGTTTGTAAATGTATGATGTTCTAGAATGTGGGAAGTCAACTTTGACCATAGATTTAAGAAATAATATCTGGCTTGTTCACATGGACACTATATTTGGATTTTTCATGAAAAGTACTTTCATAAGATAGTAAATTTTTTTTCTTACCATTTTTTCATATGAAAAGACTGTCGATGTACAAAATCTCATACAATTATGAACACGAGTATTAGTCAGCAATGTACTGTTCAGATATCCATTTATCAAAGCTCACATGTGAAATTTGGGTCACCATCGCATTCTTAAAAGAGAGAATTTTGCTTAACTCTATTCGAGCACCTGCTGTTGACCTACCCTAAAAACATGCTGCATTCCTGTTCAACAGATTGCTGGGCAGAACCGGAGAGGCGTCCAAGCTGCCAGGAGATCCTGACCCGCCTTCTTGATTGCGAGTATACCTTGTGCTGAGGTTTTGCTCTGTATAGCGGTTATAGGGGCATCAAACGGTCCGGCTTATATACATCATTTTAATTTCCCATTTCACATACATCATTGAGGATGTAAATTAATATCATGTACTATAATAAGCAAACTTTTCATAATCTCTGTAGTTCTAATGCCCCAGATTTCAAGTAAAGTTTTCGCAAAAATTGTCTTCGAGTTTTGTGCGTTTTCCCTTTATTATATCTATAATCCTAGTCCCCTTCTGAAATATTGAGATGTCATTTTCAGATAAACCTATATGCGATTGATTGACTTTCGGCCGAACCCAACGATTCTACCCGGACCAGACCCAAACCTTAACTGGCCTAGTTCTGCTGAGCAAAATCGCAGCCCAGAACGTGGCGGCAGCTTGAGATGGCCCATCTCGTCGCTGGGCTGCTTGCTCTTTTTTTCTGTAGCTTGCTGCTGTCAGAGACGCCAGGATATTATTTCTTATGAAAAATCCACAATATTTCGAAATGAGCACAGGCATCCAAAACTGAAAAAAAAGGGCAGGCTCCCATATGAGTGGGGTCTGGGGAAGAGAAAAAAACCGAGGCAAGCTTTCTCCCCGTAAAATCTATGGAAAGACTGCTTCGAACCCATGATCTAGTGACTCAGTGAGACAGCTCTCACCACTGCAAGAGGCCTGCCCTTCAAAAAATGAGGGCGTCAATTAAATGAGCGTACTGGAGAACTAGCTCGAAATGAACCACAAATCTATACAGCGAGTTTACGTTGTGGATAGTTTTTATTTGCTCAAGATTTTCTAGGTTGTGCAACAGTCTATCTTTGCTATGTAGTATGGAGATCCCATATTCCTTAGGAGACAATCAAACTTGTGAATGGATATAGTCATATAGTACTACCTCTCTATTTTTGAACTTAGGATGATGTTCTAGACATTAGTTCTCAAATCAATTACTCCTTCCGTTGTAATTTAATTTATGGTTATTTTGACCTTTCTAGATACTCCAATTTTTATTATGTATCTAGACATATCGTATATCTAAATGCATAGTAAAATTTAAGTACTTAGAAAAGGTAAAACGATTTATAATTGAGGACAGAGGGATATATTTGATTTGAACATAGCACCCATCCATTTTTTTTTTGGATTCGACTATAAGTTAAGGTTCAGTTATTTCTCTCCACGCATGGTTCACTTTCTTCACTAGTTTGGTTCAGTTTGCATGCGTCCTAGTAAAGTTCGCTTTCAACTTCTCACTAGAGATGCTCCGAGTTTCCTAAATTCAGAATACAGAGTGATCAAACTCGGCCTCATGTTTCGCTAGGTACAACGAATTTTTCTATTCCGCAAAGTTGTAGTGGAGTGACCTTTATAATTATGGTTGGCTTAGGTTATAGGTTCACTAAAGTTAACGAATTGATACGAAAACTTCAGATCAAGCATGAGAACAAGAATAAGTTCTTAAGCTGCCTTTGTAATGCTTCAAGTTCCTTTTGTACTCCTATAATAAGAGCTAAATTAAGACATCCAGTGAGATTTCTTTTCAGAAAATTATCTTAGGAGAAGAGAAACACGTACGCAAAGAGAGAGAGAGAGAGAGAGAGAGAGAGAGAGTACTCCTAGTCCATAAACCATAATAATTACTACACCCACGGAATGGTATTGGGGAGAACAAAAATTACTCGAATTAACAGAAAATTTAGTTTTTATCTCATCTGATTCACGGGAAGAAAACGAATCATGCAATCGATCCATTCCCGTTGACAAGTGCAGCGGCAGCCTTCAGCTTGCCGGCGACCTCCCCAATCGCTCGCCGGGAAGGCCCTTCCGACGACCACGCCCGCTTCGAAGCCTGACGCAGCTCTCTCGCCCGGCCGCGCACCGCGCTTCCCTTCTCCCCCTCCATGAGCTCCCTCACCGCGGCCGCGATCTCCTCGCGCGTCACCAATCCGTGGCCGTCGCCGCGCGCCGCCGGCCGCAGGGCCACGCCGGTCACCTCGGTCAGGAAGGCCGCGTTCGTCTTCTGCTCCGTGTACAGTGGCCACGCGACCATCGGCACGCCGGCCGCCACGCTCTCCAGTGTCGAGTTCCAGCCGCAGTGCGATACGAAGGACGCCGTCGCCGGGTGGGACAGCACGCGCACCTGCGGCGCCCACGCCACGACGGCGAGGCCCCGGCCGCTCGTCCTTTCCAAGAATCCCTCTGGCAGCCATGCCAGTGGGTCGTCCTTGTCGCCGGGGATCGTCCCCAGGGCGCAGGGGTTGCCGTCGAGGCTCGGCATGCGCACGACCCAAAGAAACCTGTGGCCGCTCATCTCCAGCCCGGCGGCGAGCTCGGCCGTCTGCTCCACGGATAGCGCGCCCCCGGTGCCGAAGGAGACGTATACCACCGAGTCCTCCGGCTGGCGATCCAGCCACTCCAAGCATGCCGATTCATCGGCTTCTTCGCTGGAGCTTGACCGGACGAAGGGCCCCACAGGGTACACCGGCGGGAACGCGCCATCCTCGGCGTCCCGCTTGAACGTTTCCGCCATGGCGACCTCCAGCTCCTCGAAGCTGTTGACCAAGAAGCCGTCGGCGCGGCCGTATCTCCGCGCCTCCTCAACGAGATAGGCGTACACCGGGTCGTTCCAGTCCCGGAACCCGTCGGGGAGGTCGGCGTGGCGGAGAACCGGGCCTCCAGGGAGCGGGAGCGGGTCCGGGAGGTCACGGTATTCGCCGGTGACGGCGTCGTCGCCATGGAGCTCCACGATGTGGCGCATGATGGAGATCATGGCTAAGCTGTTCGCGAAGAATACGTACCCCTGGGCGCCGAGCGGCAGCGCCGCGGTTCCGAAGAAGTCGCAGACGAGCGCGGTCACCGGGCCGTGGCTGGCGCCCTCCAGGAGCGCGCGGTGGTGTGGCAGCGAGCGCCGGACGAGCTCGAACATGAGGGTACCGAAGCCGATGTCCGGCGGGAGGTCGTCGAGGGACACGGCAGGGAGCACCGCGGTCGCGACCGAGGACGGCAGCGAGGACAGCACCGCGGCGTCCTTGGCTGGGTCGGACATGCCGGTGAGCGTGACCAGCGTGACCGCGAAGCCATGGTCCGTGGCGAGCCGCCGCGCGAGCTCCACCAGCGGGATGAGGTGGCCCGCGTCGGGGCTCGCGAACATCACAACCTCAACCTGCTGCTGTGACGGAAGCTTCTCCATGAGCTCCGACGGAGACGGCCACTCGGTCGACGCCGACGATGTGTCACTTGCACCGGTGGTCGTCGCAGCCATGTTGAAATGTCACCCTCGCACACGTATGGTTGGTGTGCCTAGGTGGCGCCTCACTTCGTAGTAGTTTTGAGCGTTATGTCAAACAATGCATGGGCACGGCGCACAATGGAACCCTCTCTAGCTAGATCTACAATTGGTGCTTTGACTTAGTATAGATCGTAGTGGAAATATAAAACTTGACTCCATTCAAGTGGAATCAAATTTTCTAATCCAGTTAGGCTAACTGAAGAGCAGGTGACGATGGGTGCAATATTGCAAGTATACGATTAATGTGATGATGAGAGAATAAGTCAACGACCTTTATTGAAAAATAATGGATTACAGAGATTGCTGTGCGTGTTTCCCATGTCTTTGCCTCCGATTGGTTTAGACACTGGTATCAGTCCAAGAACTTATTTGCAGCGGGAGTTTGATATTTGACGGTAAGCCTGTGAAGATTTGACCTCATATCACAATTGTTACATTGATCTCCACCAATTGGTTTAATTAGGCCTTTGGATCCGCGTCCTAATCGGGGACGCCCAACCGCTCCATGATTGGTGGCCCCCGTCGCACAGCGTCATAAAAAGGGAGATGGGGGCCAGGGCACAAGGCATGAGGTTCACCTGAGCCGCCAGACACCCCACCTACATCCTAACCCTAGCCGATTTAGAGAGGGGGCGCTGCCAGCGACGGGAAGCACCGCTATCGGCCATTGCCGCCACTGCATCCACGTCTTCACCGCCGGACTTCACCGCGTCACCGACAAGCACCGCCATGGCTAGCTCTTCTTCCTCAAAAGCGGTCGATGGTTTGCATCTCCGCACCCTCTCTCTCTCTCTTTCTTTGTTTCTTGCTTTAGCTTAAGTTCTAAGGTTTGCCATGTTCTAAATTCAAGTATACACCCGCTACATCTGCAACTAGGTGATCCTAAACATCTATCAATGGTATCAGTCGCCTGGTCTAGATGTACATCTAGTCTTTGGGGTAGAAATCACGAAGAAAA